TGTATGTATGTATGTATGTTTGTATGTATGTATGTATGTATGTATGTATGTATCTGTCTATGCGCGAAGAAATCCGATATATCTATAATCATCTGTATCCATACCATCCTATCCACCTTACTACTATCCAGGAGATGCAACGTTTTAATACCTTACCACACCTTTTCAAGGAAAACAGGACAAGTAACGTTAAAAGATGACCGCAGTAGCTTGACAGAGTTGCAATCTTAATCAATGAATAACTCACCTTCACAACGTCAGTAATAAGAGATAGTTTGAATTCCCAGTCAAGCGTGATAGACTCCTTTTTGATAACGTCCTGTAAACGGTAAAGGAGTTTAAAATTTCACCCAACTGTGGACAGTCATATACGGAACTCTCGTCGAATTAAACTACCTGACAGAAAATTTCATTATGATTAATTACTAGCTACTTAAAACCGAAGCTTTGCCTGCTTGATTCTCCTTAGGTAGCTCTGAGTTATTGGGACAAAGATGCATTCCGACCATCCATGTTTGGTTGATTATCGTGGATTAGTCAATAGACAGTAAGATTAAGTCAGATTTCGGGATCGCTTCTTCCATTTGGATAAGTGATATTGGCGCACAGGTACTGTTATGGTAAGTGATTCCAGCTACCAATCAAGCATTTGTGGTCAACCAATCTTAGCCTGCTAGTGGTTCGCCAGAAGGCTTCTGTGGACTTGCCACACGATTCTTGAACACAGGGTTTCCTATAACCTCCACTTATGTCCGATTACAGTCAGCTATTTTGGTGTCAAAAACTACTGCTAAATTTCCCCGTTTTCCTTTGATTTCTTGGACCATGGAGGTATAGATCAATGGTAAATATGGTCTATGTGGTTATATTTCGTAAATTTTGGATCACTGTTTTTATACTGCAATGTATTACTTGTGCTTAGTTATTAGAATCCCTCTGGCCTGCAAAATAGGACCAAAAGTAAACGGTTAAGGCTGATGTCCTGCTGGGTTTTGCACAAATAAGACCTAATGATTCACAGTCTGTGACAGCTTATGTTTTCACTTTAAACGATCGAACTTCTTGGACTGCACCCACCTTCTGAGCCCCAGGAAGGTCGACTACAGTCGTCGACTTTCAAGGAGTTTTCAGCAAGCCTGAAAGTAGACTGCGATATCTCAAATATCATAACAACTGAAATATAAGAAGGCCTTTGAGTAGCATATTCACTTGAAGAATATCATAAACGAGAGCTTCAGTTGAGTCCTCCGGTAAATGCAAATTATTTGAGAATTCAGTTTCCCGATGCATACAACAATCGAGTTCCACATCTTTGTGAAGAACAGTCTCTTGGATACTCAACTGAATGCAGCTGAATATCCTGTTATGTTGTTTGATATGGACGTTTGTCCGGCGAATGATGCGTTGACACTAAAATTTTCATCCGAATTGAACTTGTTACAACACATCGCCAGTGAAATTCGCACTGGAATTTAAGACGCTGAAATGATGAATCGTCAGTTTAAAACGGCTGCATAGGGTAGACAAGAAGCATTAACCAATGAGTCTACCGGTTATCCAACTGGGTAGTCATTGTTTCTTGATACTATGTTCAACAAACCGTTTTTAGACCAATCACATAAGCACTTCTTTTTAGCCGCCGTATATATTGGTCCATCTCTATCTGTCAAGAGCTGAAGTCTTCAAAAACTCAGTTACTGCCTGAAATTGGCATTTGGTCCCACCGAGTTCCCCCTTTATTTAATCGGCATTTTGTGGTTCATGAAACTGACTTGAGTCAAGCCCTTTTAGTATACGGAATTGATACATGATTTTTCAGTTCAACGAGGAGGGATCACCGGTACCACAATGGCACTGCAGTTATCACGATCAGCCAGCATTTAGTTGAGGGTTTCATCACACGTGCTGGTTCAAAGTTCACTTTTAAAAACCTGCTTCTCAATTCTCTATACTTCAATTTGACTGGTTTACTGCAAGTAGGTGCCAGTTCTTACAAGATAGCCTCCCAGTATTCAACCTAGAACAAAACAAGATTAACTAAACTTCCATATAGCTCCATCAACCAACAGTCTGAAGACACATAAGTCGTAAAAGAACAAATCGCACATGCACATTTGATCGTGATTTTGCAAAATTTTGAGTTTCATTTGTCAACGGAGATGCTCTTAATCCAACTTCATTTTAGTTCCTTCGGCTGGCGTTGGTCTTCAGTTCGGGAGACAACAATTAACATTCTTATCGCTGAAAACAGTTTTATTGGCTTAGCTGTCAAGAGATTAAACTGCTGTCCGTGGAATGTCGCATAAAAATCGCAACCGAATTTAGTTAGCCGGTCAACAAGATGTATTTTTTGTTTCATGGGGCACGTAATCATTCTCTTGCGCGTAAATGAATTTAAAGGGGTTTTGTAGCTGCGATCAACTGGTGCTGAAAATTATTCAGAATTTCGAGTGGTAGTGGGACAACCCCGCTAATTTTGGCCGCCATGGCTACTGGGCGTGGTGAATATCACCTGGGGCAACCGAATAGCTGTAGCAGGAGGCTTTTTACTAAACAAACTTGCGTGACACTTCTTTAACTGATGAATACTTGGGGTGGAGTTTTAAAAGTTTGCGAATTCCAGTGTCCCAACTTTCGAATTGATTTTCCGCCTGTGTTATGCAATTTATTATTCATGTGTATCGAACAGAATATCACATTAACTGTTAGTCTCGGAAACCTAAAGTTTCTTTATTTACGGTTTGGTTGAGATAACAAGTATTCTGCTACATTCTTTGTTAAGTCACCAATGCATTTCTATTACAATCAACAGTTTTTTATTACCCATTATCCGCTATGGCTTAAAATGAAAACATCTTGCTTAACAACAGCATTTTTGAACAACGAACTAATTGGAGGACTCTGGAGGTTATAAATTTGGGCAAAAATAATTTAATGCCTTCAAACTACAGGGATGAATGGACCCCAGCGGCATAGAGATATTATCTGTTGTAAACCACATTCAATGAAAAAATCCGAAAATGGCTCGTAAGTGCATAGTTTGCATCCGTTTGCATCCCACTGCACAACAGAATCTTTTCACACTCTAGCTGGTGTGACAATGCCAACTACGTATTCTCCGTGGATTTTTGGTGCACAAAGTCATTCATATTCGAAACTTTTCAAAATGCTATGATCAGGAATTGCACAGTTTCTTTGCCGTGTGCTTTGATTGATGACCTCATCCCTGCTTATGGCAGTATTCTTGTTGTGGTACGTATCAGTTGAGGTCGGAGGGCCCTCAGGTATAAGACGGATACGGCATAAACCGAACTGAAACCATTCGCATCACAACTCATAAAAGAAGTATTCCTCCACCCTATGTGCAGCTGATCTACCTGCTTTCGGAACTTTCCGTCGGCTATTTCGTCCACTAGCTACGCACCTATCGTGGATAACAAATTGATGGCTAGGTGTGCTTCAGCGATCCAGTGTTCACAAAATGCCATCTGTGGCGTAAGGCTTCCAAAGTTTCACGTTCAACACGGTACGAAAACCCAAACTAAGTCAGTACCATTCGGTAGCAAAGTCGGGTGAATCAGGGCCTGAGATTGGGATGTCGCTTTTTTGAGCACCACACAGATACATTTTGCTTTATCATGTGTTCTTTAGTCACCTTACTATGACGTATTTAAATAGGAGACGCTTAAGAAACTGGTTTGAAACGGTTAATCTCAGCAGGTGACAGATGCGTTTTTTCTGCGATTCGGGTGGCACGATTTGTGAGTACAGATTACCTAGCGCACCAACCTCGCGAAAACTCCTCATTGGGCCGGTGAATTGAAATAAACAAACGTGTGTGCCTACGTCCGTGTATAAACGTGCGTTCAGGCGTTGGGGTTTGTGCACATTTTTAGCGAACGCCGTAAAGGATGAAAAAATGCAAGCCGGATTGCTGACGGAATAACGGTGAATGAATCAGCGCTATTTTACTGTGGCACAGTCTGATTCAAAATATTTTACCCCAAAATAATTCATCATTCTTTTAAATTCGTATAACATGCGAAAAAATGTAGATTAACAGAATGAAAATGCACTCATATCGTACATTTATGCAAACGTTTGGTGTCTAAATTACGCTGTCCTCCGAAAATTTAACAAGCTGAACACGTTTGGAGACCGTTTTTTAAATCAACGAGCCACCCATTCACAGCAAATCATGTCACCTTTAGTTTGGATGTACTTTGACGACTGTGTAACATGCAGAAGTGTCGAGTTGATTGGGAAATTGACAGCTATGCTCTTTTGCACACCGATGAAATGAAACACATACCCTGAATTCATAGCAGTCGGGTGATGGTTTTGTTTCGTTTCAAAACGCATACTGAGGAGACCACTGAAAACGGTCCAGGATCGCTGATGTTATGCAAAGAGTTTGGTGAAACAAAAGACGAGTACAAACACTTGCTGCGAGAACTTGCAATCAGATTTTACCTGACAGCCGTGAACTTCCTGACTAATAATATATCCGAAAAATGTGAAGGATGAAAGCCCGTTTGGTTGGGAAAAGAATCATTCTAATAAGTTGAGCGGATACAAAGCGGCTGAACTCACCAGTAGGCTCCCTCTGCTACAGTGTTCAAAGACAATGCACAGTGAGCTGATATCTACGTAGCAGCCAATCATCTGATTAATGTTTTCATGACGGATCTCCCGAAGTGTCCGAACCGTGTCCAAAAATTTTCCTTTCAAAGTTGCATTCTCCAAGTTGAGACGTTTTACGTAGACAAGACCGTTCTTAAACGAGAGAAAAGTTTTCCAAATTGATAACCGTATTTCGTGAACAGGAAAATGTAGCAAAGTAGTGTTTTGTACTGTGATGATTGGGAAAACACAAAGCGTACATCTTGTCAGACTACACATGAAAGTGAGCAAGGTTGTCAGACTGAGAAAATAGATGAGACCGAAGCTTAAGAAAATGCTTGATATTTTGGAGGTCGACATTTTTTGTGCCTCTATCCCACAGTCTGAACCTTTGTTGGGACAAATTAACTTAAGACCCTAAGCTTCTCCCACATTAGTTTTCCATGAAATATAATTTTTGAATTCCAACTTAAAAAATAAGTAAGTCTGTTCACAGCCACTTTTCCGAACATGATTCCTAAACCACTTTTAAAAATCTACACACCATCAAACTTTAAGCTATCCAAATACAGATTTCGTGCCTGTTTACTCTATCTCTGTATTTAAATAAAACATTGTATTTGGGGAAATTCTCGGAAGGCAAAACTAGACTTCTGTTTATTGTTAGAATCCACTTTATTAAAAATTTCAACTCCGAAATACTGTGCGGTTCAGATGTGAGAATCCCAGATGCTATATGGTTGAAAACGCTAAGCGCACATGTTTGTATCAACAGCATTGAAAGCTGAGCTGATATCTACGTAGCAGCCAATCATCTGATTAATGTTTTCATGACGGATCTCCCGAAGTGTCCGAACCGTGTCCAAAAATTTTCCTTTCAAAGTTGCATTCTCCAAGTTGAGACGTTTTACGTAGACAAGACCGTTCTTAAACGAGAGAAAAGTTTTCCAAATTGATAACCGTATTTCGTGAACAGGAAAATGTAGCAAAGTAGTGTTTTGTACTGTGATGATTGGGAAAACACAAAGCGTACATCTTGTCAGACTACACATGAAAGTGAGCAAGGTTGTCAGACTGAGAAAATAGATGAGACCGAAGCTTAAGAAAATGCTTGATATTTTGGAGGTCGACATTTTTTGTGCCTCTATCCCACAGTCTGAACCTTTGTTGGGACAAATTAACTTAAGACCCTAAGCTTCTCCCACATTAGTTTTCCATGAAATATAATTTTTGAATTCCAACTTAAAAAATAAGTAAGTCTGTTCACAGCCACTTTTCCGAACATGATTCCTAAACCACTTTTAAAAATCTACACACCATCAAACTTTAAGCTATCCAAATACAGATTTCGTGCCTGTTTACTCTATCTCTGTATTTAAATAAAACATTGTATTTGGGGAAATTCTCGGAAGGCAAAACTAGACTTCTGTTTATTGTTAGAATCCACTTTATTAAAAATTTCAACTCCGAAATACTGTGCGGTTCAGATGTGAGAATCCCAGATGCTATATGGTTGAAAACGCTAAGCGCACATGTTTGTATCAACAGCCATTGAAAGCTACATAAAGTGAGACCCTACTGTCACATTTGGCAACTCCCTGTGATTCTAGAGCTATGTATTCTACACCGCGATGAACTTTCGATTGTGTGGGCCTACACCATATCATCTGTTGTCAGTCAAACCTATTCCCACTATCACGCATGTTCAAACCATTCACGCTGTCAACCTACTGATGGCTTCCACCCCACACACACAGTCCCAACGATGCTCGCCAGGCTGTTCTTTGACCTGACAAAGAAACCTTGGCTGCCTCTCACCGTTTCAGCTGGGTTTTAGTTTCTGTGTCCTCGTTTATGATCACTATACGCAACAAAGAATCGCTGATTCATGCTTCAGCGACTTATTTGTCACCTACTTCAACTGCATAGCTTGGTTCAACTCCAGAACACGCTAAGAACGATTCGGTTAGACGAACAACTTGCCTATGATCTTCCGGCCACAGTTAATTCCGTAATTACAATGGATCACGAACGGTCTAATCGCTTTGTGAAATTATGCTTGATAAGACATCCTATTTATAGTTGTGCTGAGAACTCTTCAAAAATTCACTACCGGTTCCGCGCTACTTGAGGCCCATGAGCTGGACACAGAACTCAGGTTCCATCATTCTTAAGTTATACTTGTAAACCGAAATTCACGCAAGTGATGAAATGCAGTCGACCGCAAAGTACTTCAGTGTTAACAGGAGACCCAAATGAGGAGTCCCATGAACAAGAAATACATTTTATTCTCTAAAACTTACCTGGCAATGATCTTAGGCTGGGAACAAAAAGGTGAACTAAACCTATAGCGCTCTTTGAACCTGAGTTTCCTTAATTTCTTTACTCACCAGATGTTGCTCAAAGTACAAAGTTTGTTAGTTTTTACATGTCTAGTTTTTTTCACATCCAGCGTAGAACCAAAAACAGAAGGCACCTTTCAATTTTTACTAATATAGAATGCCCTATATTTGGGGGTATATGGTAAAACAACGTATATCACGCATTGAATGTTACATTTTTTCTCATGAAGAGAGGATAAGGAGAGCTACGGAGTGACCCAATACATTTTGTGGGCACCCCATTACCTGTTGTACTCTGATTAACAGTATTTGGGGTAACGACAGCATTATACCATCTAGAAAGATAATATACAAGACCTGCTTCAGGGATAAAGCTTGATGATGAACCCAAGGCACGTGTGACTGATACTGAACCCTTATGTTGCGGGCTACTCAGTAGTGTCCTAGATAGTGCTCAGAGAACGGAGCCAATCCTTCCAATCTATGCAAGTTTCACTGCAAATTCAAGCGAAGCGACACATGGAGACTGCGGCAGAGTAGTGAAAAGAACCTTTGGGTTCACTCTGAAACATACTATCTCTGGTAGCATTTTACACTTCACTGCTGATATAAGCCGGTTGTTGCACTCGACAGAGTAAACCTCTTTTTAGGGAACAGTGTGATTTCATGAAAGGCTGTGCCTGTTTTGAAACTATGGGGAGTAGACATAAACGAATTGACTTGTTTAAAAGTGTATTTTCCAAGAAGCTGGTTTGATATACCTAACTCTCTTCCAATCGGAAGTCGTTTCTTCATGCTCCCACTTATAAATGATGGGACATCAACTGAAATTTAAGACAGTGGCCACTGCATATGACTTCATGATGGACCGCCCTTTGTTCGGTCTTGTTCGGACTTTGAATCCTGGTAATATCCAGGAAAGCTAAACTGCCAGTTGAAGCTACTCGCAGGTTAGTGTGAATAGTATTCATGATGACAAAATGCAAACTAAATTTGTGGCCATAAGTGGGAATCAAAACATCGTTTTGCATACCACCTGTAAAAATAATTAATTGAGGTGCTATACTGAGTTTCTGTACCTTATCCCCTCAATTGCCTTCCAAATGACGCTTGCATAACATAGTCCGCGATAAATGAGCATAACTGAATAAACTTTTGGGCGTCGACGAACAGCATCGACTCCCTGACTTGCTGGTTTGCTCCATAAAATCTTCCCGGGTATTTCTGTGCAAGAGAAGATATTAGTACCTAAAAACTTCACAAACAAATGTGTGGCTATCGGAATATATTCTGTCAATTTACTTTTCCGTTTCGAGCACGGGTAAGCTCACAGCTACATCACATTCGAGGTTTTCACAAACCTTGAAGAATGCCATCTCCAAGCAAGCAGGCTGTAACAATAAATCCCTGGAATATATTTGGATCGATTGTTCATCTAATTCGAAGATATTTATCCAAGATGCTTTGAGTATCACCTTTGCTTCATTTGTCGAAAGCCGAGCAGCTTCACAATTGGCCTCAGTAACTGAGTAAACTGTGTGTAACTGCACATTTTTGTTCGTTTGATCAGCATTGTGTGTCTACTAGTCACGATAAAAGGATAATTCATTCTACCGATGTTTTAAATTCACTGATTGTTTGTTGCCATTCGATCCGCCTTTTAGCTGTCCCATGTTGTCCGTTACAACCGGAACCTCCTTGTTTAGTCCGGTAATATTGCTCCTTGCAATGTCATCATATTTTCAAAGTGGCCTGTGGCTTTCAACAGGCTTTCGCGAGCTTTCCTTCGCGATTACGTCGGAATTCAAGGCCCAGCTGTATTGACACACCCGGCTCCGCACTAGCATACTCGGGCGTTCAGTGCTTTAGCCACCGTTAACACGCAAAAACCATTTGGTTAACTGAAGGCTAATTCACTCAGGGGCATGAATAAGGGGAATTACATGACCTAAAGCCATTGCAACATTTCAGTTGCTAAAAGGCTAAAACTTACGTTGTACCGAGCAGCATTTGTGTCACTTATTCCGTCTCCACTGATCACTGATGCCAGAGATTTGCTGGGATCCTCCACCTGGAGTCCATTTCGACTAGGAATGCTCGCATTAGGCTTCAGCTCAGTGCTCAAAGTCGGAAAACGCAAGTCGGGATTACTCTGTGTTTGGGTTTTTAAATAGAATATGGGAACAAAGGAGACAGTAATAGTAAAATATATCCGCTTCTCAGGCTACAGAAAAGGACCTGAATTTTATGGATGAGCGGAAACATGTGGGACGACCATCTGGTCAGCGGTTTCGTGCTGTTTGTAACAGCTATATAAAATGACTATCAGCCATGTAGTTCTTTGAGCAACTATCCTGAGCTCTTAAACAATAGCTGGGTGTAAGGCCAGTCTACACTTTTCTGCTGAGTCCCAACAAAACAAAATTGGGTGTTCAACCACGTGAAAAAGTCGGGAGATATTTAAGATCTGTAATAGACCACTTAGGGCAAGGTAATTGGTAGGTATCCGTTATATCCATAACAGTGCGATTCAACCGCGACTCTACGGATTGCCAAAAATTCACAAGTTTAGATGTCCCGATAAGGCCATCGGGACATTGGTATAGGCTCGCCGCCGCATGAACTGGCCAGATTCTTAGCGGGTATACTAAAACCGCTCACGGGGAAATCAAGCACCTTCCTTAGGAATTCGTACGACTTTGCCAGCAAGGTCGCAGGGCTTCCTTCGGAAATGGACTAAGTCCTCATGAGTTTTGACGTAACCTCAATGTACACAAACATCCCTAGGACAGGTGCTCTGGAGGTAACTAAGGGGTTGTTACTGGCAGACACGACAATCGGGGGACGGACACAGCTCTCGGTGGGTGAAATATTTGAGGGTGTAAGAGTGTGCTTGAATCTTGATCAGTTTGTTTTTGACACAACTGTTTACTCACAAGAACAGGGTCTTGCAATGGGATCTCAAATATCCCCAGTTTTAGCTAAAATTTACATGGAGGACTACGAACAAAGAGCTTTGGCCGGATATCATTGTCCGCCCAAAGTTTTTTTGACGTTATGTTGACGACACGTTTGTTGTAATCAAACGAGATAAAGTGAACAGCTTCCACGATTATCTCAATAGTTTAAACCCCCACATTAAGTTTAGCATGGAAATAGAGTCCATCTCGGGCATATTACCCTTTCTGGACTGCATAGCACATAAGATTGGTGGGCAATTGAAAACGACTATCTACCAGAAACCAACAGACACGGGAACCGTCTTAGGCTATTCATCAGCATACCCAAAGTCCGTGTACGCTATTGTCTCATCGATGTTTCATCGAGTCAGAGCGCTGTGCACAGAAGTGATCGACCGAACGGCAGCTCAAATCGAGATTGCCAACAAACTTCAAGAAATAGGATACCCAGTGAGTTTGATTAAGCGTCAACTAGGAAAGATATTGGCTCCAGTATCTAGACCCAGTAAAGAATGGATTGGCACAGCAGTCATTCCATGTAAAGCAGGAACATCGGAGGTTATTCGAAGATTGTTGAACTTAGCCAACATTCGAGTAGCTTTTCAGAAGGGAAAAACGCTACGCTCAGTTTTGGTGCAATTGAAGGATCTCTTGCCGGTTGGAAGGACTAAGGACTGTATGTATAAAACTAACTGAAACGATTATGCTAAGGTTTATATAGGACAAACTGCCAGGGAATTGCACACCAGAATTAGTGAGCATAAAAGAAGGATTAACAACCCACCAAGGAATGCAGAAGAATGCCAAACGCGGACTGCGATTCACACAGTAGCTGATAGCTGAGGCGGTGGAAATTACTAAGCATCACAGCGTGAATAGAATCGAGGGTGTGGAGCTGGCGAGCGTATGGAAAGCTGTCTTAGATAAGCCGAGTCGACACGTGACAGTGTGCTGTCAATCCACGTAGGATCATTGGAAAAAACCGGGGAGTGGGGGTTGGAAATCCCAGCCCGAACAAAGGTCACAGCATCCCTCTTACACAACTATCTTAGCCCCAGCTCACCCACACAGACGGACAGAAGGTTCAAACGACGTTCAAGAGGGACCATCAAATGAACCGAACCAGAAGAACTAGACCCTAGGCTGGACCCAAACACATGTAGGTTTCCCCACCGACCCAACACTTGTTCAACCACTCTAACAGACTAAAATCCCTCAGCTTGACTTAGCTGATTGGTTCTCCTCCCGCCTTAAATCTCCACCAACCTCGGAACCTAGTCAATCGGCCTGACGAAGCTTTTGTGTCAAAAGCGAAAAGTTGTCCAACAATAGATCCACCGATTGTCACAAAAGTTTCGAAAGCTGGGCGTTGTTCAACTATCTAGTTATGATAACCGCAGGACTAAACTTCAGGCCCACGTCATGGTGATTGTCAAGTCTTTTGTGGGAGAATAAGTATTCTGCTAAGGCCTTCAGACTGTTTCTTACTAGCCAGATGATTAGCTGGTTAAATCCAAGCTTCTCCATATAGTTTAGAATACCCAACTCACTGAAAATATCTACAAGTAAAGAAGTATGAATGAGTACAATAATTTCCTGAAGGCTTTCCCATTTAGAACAGCCGCAGATATGCTCATTTGCTTTTTTCTGGAGAACATTCAAGGCCTTAATGGCAGCTTGTTTGAGACAGTTAACCATTCATACAAACAAATATGATTACCAAAGTGTGAAATCAGAGTGACGATGGTGTTAGTCCGCCATGTTCTCTAAAAGCAAGTTGACCCTTTTCCAATTCAAAATAGAAAGCACCTAGGTTTCCAGTAATCTTGCACTTAACTTAGCTTCTTTTCTTTGGTTAGAAGGCATTTCAGTTGGCAAAGGAACCCTAATTATATCAACCTGTCAACAAAATACCTATCCCGCAAAACCCCAAAATTGCAACCAAAAATGCTGCTCAGTGGGTTTCAAGAGTGTGCCACGCTACTTGAGTGGGAAGTCCTGACTGGCGGGTCAATCGATCGTCACAACCAGGACAGTTACTGGGTCGTCGTTCGTTGAGTTGGGCACACCAATCACGCCGCTCAAGTGCGAACACGTTCGCCTGTTCAGACGTGAAAATTCAGATACCTCCAGAGTGTGTTGGTAGAGTAGCGGTTACACGCTCGCCTCGCGTGTCAGATGTCCGGGGTTCAAATCCCGGGACGGCCATTGGATATTCACTGCTGATGAGCTCCAAAAAGAGCGAAACTCGAGTACAGTGCTTTCCTTTCGTGTGGGCTCACCGGAATGATTACGCCAGAACAAGAACACGACCGTTCAAGCGAGAGTGGTGTGACTATGGATAGGGTTTCTTACCTGGACGTGTGTTGGACACCGCGCGTTGATGCCACCAAAATATTCATCTTGCCAAGCGTGTAAACTAGTGGGAACATGTTCAATTTGTAACAAGTTTGACGACATCCTGAAGGAACGAGCTGGGAAGTGACATGTTAACCACAGATTCCTATGCTGTTCATATGGTGGGATTGGGAGATTTTCAGAAACAACATAACGGGATAATAATATAGTCGAGGCAAACAATCCTTCACTCACTGGAGCTGTCGGTCGGGGCTCTCTGGCTGTTTTCACAAAGATTAAATCATCCGGATAAAGAATAAGTTTGTTGGGACCCTCTCGATACATCTTTCTTCGACGGTACCAGCTGGTGAGTGAAGTTAATTTAATGGATATAAAATGATTAGTCAAAAACTTAATAGCATGGGTACTTGTTATCGAAAGTGCATTCATAAAAAAACTTTACACAAATTTTCCGTGTTTGGACAGAATAAAAAAACCTCTGTAAAGAAAAACCTTTGGGAATCTGACTGTTTTGGTCTGAGTAATTTTTGTCCATTCGAAGTTTCACGCCGTACCATTTTTGTACATATATCTCTGTTTGCTGTGGCAATTATGCATTTGTGAACGAGTAACCTGTTGAAGGGTAGCATACGTAATTAATTTTTTTCAGGTTTGACGACATTCTCCAGAATGGGTTCAGTGTTGTTGACTTTTCATGAAACCACCCTTTTTGGGAGACAGCCTTTGTGAAATATCTTGCATAATCTAGCGGAGTGATGAACATTTACAAGTAGTCCTCAATGTTCGACCTACAATGCTGATTTGATATTTTTATCAAAGGTTAAAAGCAAAATGTCCGCTACAAGAGAAGGTGATTATACAGTTAGTAAAATGGTTGTTTGTGCCTGATGTACTAATCAAACGAGAGAATAAATAACCGTTTTCCTAGAATATGGTTGAATTTTTCATCCAATTTTTCCAGCCTTACTAGACGAACACTGGTTAGATTCACTTCCCCTACAGCCATCCAAATGGATTATACACCAACAGTTAAAATCCCAGTGATTACAAAACAAATGTATCACACTGAACTGGCGACCACAGAGGGTGGTCTGCCATAATGACAGTTATGATACCGGACAGTCCCATTTGTTGCATTAACTGTATGACTAACGGCACTCAATGTAAACGAACGACCCACAATTCTTAGACTCCTTAAAATCCCTTTGGAGACCACATATCAGAATTCTTCACCATCCAAATTCAACACCTAGTTCCGGCGCATTAAATTCACTCGCGCCTCACTGCAAAGTAAACAAAGTGTGGGGTAGTTGAAAAACGTTCGCCAGCCCACCATCGGTTTTGCTATTCTTGGGGCTCATCAGTTGGGCGTAGTCTCCGAGTTTCCGTCTACCTTATGTTCTAAACGAAGTGACTTCTTTACGATGTGCTTATTAGTATGCATGGTTTGAGAGTAATGAAAAAGTTTAAAACTGTTGACAAAGGTCCTAGGGGAATGGTACATATATCAGACAAGTTACAGAATGATCTATGGAAAGCTGTCAACATTCGAATATTTACCGTGATAGAAAGAATGCGATCAGGGCAAACACGACCCCAGCCGTGATGATGGACATAAATATCAGAGCCATCACGATTCCGTTATCTAGAAGGGGAAAAACAGCAGCTGCATAGCGTCAGACAATAATTGAATTATGCAGAGTACAAAACTGGAGGGTCATTTTTTTGGCCCACTAGGCGTTTTACGACCCATACCGAGTTAGCAATAAAAATTTGCCTACGTTGATAGAAAGTTTGTCTTAGTTCGAAAATGAAGATTCTTTCAACAACTACAAGAAAAACTAAGCTCTCCTGCTCTCGCCGAAGGGAGTAACGACAATCAAGCACAGAGTTACGTCCGGTTTGCCTATGGAGAATCTGGTCACACTGAACCAAGTTTAATTATGAACCAAATTCGGAAAATCACCTTTTGGTGATCTACTTTGATGACCGTTTAAATAAACCATTGTTAAATCGTTCCATGAAGTAAGGCGAGTGTGCACACGTCATTGCAGAATTCATACAAATAAAAAGTTTATTGAAGAACTATTCGTCCTTGGAAAAAAACATCTTTAATATAAATCCGATACTCGTCTGTTTGTCGTCTGGCTCTGAACAATTGCAGGAGTCTGGAAGCGTGGGTTTGAAGGTTCTTATCGAATCTCACTTAACTTTAAGAATTTCTGAGAGTATAAACAATGCAGAGCAGTATCAGGACTGACATAAACTTATTAGGCATCTCTGATGACTTCTTACCGTGTTCTCTATATCAGAATCCCGTTCAGCACACAAAAATAATGGAATGGCCTGTGTTTATACGATGCTTTGTCCACAGAATATCAGTTTTTCTCAGCTGAGGTTTTGTTTTGTTTTCGACAGATCAGGAGATCTTTGATCGTCAAGCCTAATGTCTTGATTTAATGGTGAGGAATATTGAATGTCTTGACGTTTTCGATACTTGCCCTTGATCACAAAGAATACATTGGCAATTTTACATTCATTTATACTTTTATATTTGCTACTGCCTCCCTTATTATCCACGGCAGTTAAATCCATTTTCCACACAACCTTACTATTTTGGAAACTGTGCCACAAATTGAATATACTTCGCTATGATTTACAGCGCTGCCTCGGTGGTATTGCACCTCAATTCGAGGTAGGCAGTCAAGTCTACACAACTAGAAAACTATGAATCCCAAGGTAATCATGTCCCATCTTGTTGACAAGCAAATCTACTTTGCACGAAGTGTACACTATTTTCAGAACGAAGTAAGGATGTGCCGAGACTTCGCTGAATGTGTTACTGTGGTTGTGCTGATTACCAGGCCATCACGCGTGGCCTGGGGGACGTACAACCGCTTTGCAAATTAGATAATTTAAGTTTACTTGACAGTCCCTGGACGCCAACACAAATGGTCTGTATGAAGAGGCCGTGACAGTTTCTGTTTATCAGTTGAACGAGAAGAAAATTCAAGTAGTGCGGTACAAATGAAAGTTTCGTCACATGCTCCCAAAATCTGAAAACTCCCAGAAAAAGCTCCTTCCATCTGGCCTCGTGAAACGAACCCCTCAGTCATTTGGACGGAAAATATACTAACACGAAGAAAAAATTCCTTCTCCTTCCTTCCTTTTCCCTTACTAATTGGAAACTCTGCTGAGGTTCGGACTAAGTCTTTTAGTTCCGTCATTTTAATTTGCAAACGTGTTTGCCTGCACGTTTAATTCGGTCCTCATGTACAAGGTAGGTACTACAAAACCCCCACCTGGCGCGTCACAAAAGGAGGTGATTGGGCTCTTCAGGAGTTTTGACCAGATAATATAGGAAAGGGAATATGTTAGTGCCCTGATTATCAGTCCTTTGAAACCTGGCCAGTTTGTATTAAGATAATTCAGTTGAAAACTATAATGAACAGGAGATTCTACTGAGATTCTACCGATCCTTCCGCAGGTAAATGTACATCTGCAGAAAACGATAGCAACCTTTCGGAGTAAGGTTATTAAAACCGGTGAAATTGTTTACTACACACGAACCTGGTTTGCAAGTTGTCGACGGATTCGAGGAATCAGCTCCATTAGACTGTGCAGCAACCAGTTCTATTGGCGGTGGAAGCAGTGGACCTGGCCAAGAAATGACAAGGCTTGACTCGAACTCCCAGGCATCAGTCGTCGAAGAATTAGATAAATGTGCCAAAGTGTAGTCGATTGCTGCACTTGCCAAGTGTGAGTTACTGTCAAAGGCCATCATCACTTTGATGGAATCTGTCACTTGGATACGCAAGGTGGCTCCGTCCAAAGCGGCAAAGAAACCGGCGTTTGTACTATGTTCATCCATCTTGGCTCGGAGTATTGCAGTTTTCAAGACGAAACCAACAACCAAATTGAGCGCCAGATATCGCCTGTGCGCTATGGGAGTTGATTTCTGAATTTGGAATTGTGGTGAGATATTTGTATTCATGTAGCAATGTAAGAGTTTACAAAAGATGAGGGATGAATGAATAGCATACGAACACATATCACTTTTCTGACAGACTATGATATAATATCTTTAATTGCCTAAAACTTTGACCGCCACTTGTATTCTGTGGCACTTCACTCCATAACACCAGGCCTCGGAGCATATGGGCCAGATCACTACAGCACAGGAGACTTGGTTTATTCGAAGTAGCAAGCGATGATGCAAAAACCAATTCGTTGAATTATGCGGCCGTTGGTTTTTAACTCGCATATTATTATTGTTTCTCCACTTGTTATTTTGCGTGTTCCTTTGTAAAATCACAAATGCTATATCTTTTTAGGGATACTTTCGGCATTGAAATTTTGGAAGCAGCAGAATGAACGGAAAATGTAGATATAGAAACTCAGAATTGATACCGCAGACTACCCTAGAAAGGGAACCGGGTGAAGGATTTTGGAGATTAGAGCTTTCTCTAAAGTAGCAAAAACAAAAGAAGCCGTTTGTCATATCATCCGACAAATGCTTTTATCATCAAAGGCAGAACCTATCCTGTCCTTTCGGCCCAACAGTGTCACCACGTGAGCCGCACTCAGTCGGTCTGTGCAACTTCGCATTGAATATCAGCTTGCCGGCACGCAGTAGGCCTTGCCCTTGTTTAAAGTCCGACATGGATGTTACGCTGCCGATTAACTTCTATTGCTTGGTGTGAGGCGTCAAGCAAGAATTCGAGTTCAACCTTCTGAGTGAACAGCTGACCTGCACATAGAAAGAGCATTTGTAAATTTACTATACATGTGAGTGTTTTTCTGTACACTCACCCAGTAGTACCATGTTGGAACCGTCGAACATGTGCGGCAATGTCAATCTCCTAAACCACATTTCACCACCTCATTTGAAGTATAGCGTGTCGGGTAAACTGACAGCACACTGATGGTAAGCACAACTGACCAGAAATCATCGGGACTGCATGAATAGAATGCACGCAACAGTAACAGGAGAATCCTTTCTTCAGGTTAGTTTTGTTAGTGTATTTTGGGATGAAATGGACATTCAAAGTTAAATCAAGGAACTCAGGCCAGTTCAGTAATCATCACTAGGGTGAGTGCCGACAAGCATAACAGTCGCAGTCAACACGAAAGGCACCGACCAATCACGTCATCACTTTGAATTATACAGACCGAGCCAAGTAAATTGTGATCTTCCTGGCGGCAGAATTTCATTTTTTGAAGGGACAAAATGCAACTAAATCAACTGTTCCTTTCAATATTTTGAATAAAGTCGATGAAGAAGAACAAGGCCATCACCGTACCGAATACCAACCGGAAGAGGCTCTACTCCATGAGTCATTTGAAACATTTGATCCCGCACTCCCAGGGTCTCACTAACAGAATATCTCTGTGGATTTCCAAGCCGGGTGTATGTGATTTCATTTCCAGAACAGGGTCTGAGCTAAGTCACTACTGATGTACTCTTCAAGTCACAACCCTGGACCGGTTAATTAGAAATAAAAACTGCCACACCACTCTACTTATTTTTATGTTGCCATCAAAAGTTAGCATGAAGTTGTCAACTGATCACGCAGCCAGTATGTCCGGGCTGCGATTAGCAGTGATCTGCTAGTGCTGGTGCTCACATATGGGCCATTTTTTGGTCTCTGAACAAAAACCCTATAAAATTATCCACAGACTTGCTGCAGTTAGAACAAGTGCAAAAGATAGAAAAGCCTACTCTTTTTCATTTGCTGATTTTGCGGCTAAGCTAAAACCAGTTTTCTACAGGACACCGCCCTACACGTACTTTGCGCATGCGTGTTTACTGAATGCAGAACTAGCTTTTATAGTTGAGTTTTCAAGCCCAATCACCCTATTTAATCGGACTATCACCCCGCTACTATGACCGTCTACGCTAGTTCTTCAGTAACTTGATAACACGGAAATTATTCTTTGCATGTAGAGCTCACAAAGTTTAACAGAATGGTCGCACTCGGCCGCAATCCTCCGTATGCCCTGCTGCAAGTGGTTTTGCATTAACCAGTTATAGCTCACTTTGACTGCCAACGTACACATTGCAACCACAAGATGCTGGTTGAATTGCTTAAAAGTGCGCAAACTAAGGACAACAATTTACTTCACATCTCCCCGCCAATCGCGTAGACAGCATCCTCCGAAGCATTCTTATCGTTGTGTGATATACACGACCCAGCGGTTCACAGATTCACAGTTTTGGAGACTGTGGAATTTTTGAGGAAAACAAACTCGCCAAAAGCAACATAGCTCTCCGCCGTACTGACTGTGACAGCATATAAAAGGAAAATTTAGGAAAAACACCCAAAAGCCAAAGAGTGTTGAACAAAGCCTCTTATTCTGTTGGCCTGTCTGCTGAGTGAGTGCGAAATGAATGAAGTAAGAAAACCCCGACCAGACCTTCAACCAGCAGCTTTCATGACTCATGAGTGAGGTGTCGAGACAGTTCAAACGGCTGCTTTTGTGAGAGTAAACGACTTCAGTGACTCTGGAGACTGTAGTGGGTGTTGAGAGAAGCTGTTTCGGAGATCAGATACTCAAGATAGGCAACCGATTTACACATTTTTGATATGATGATTCTACAGGCGGCAAAGTTCCATACCACAGAAGATGTACTGGCATTTTAGACGCACTGCTAGTGCTGTTATGCAGTTCTAAAGCATTCTTTGCCGACGAAACCGACGCATGCCATCGTAATCTGTCGTCGCGGAACCAAAACGTCGCCGGAGCGCGCGCAAGGGGTCAAAAAGCCTGTAGACGACGCGTTGCGCTGCTTTTTGTGGACATCAAGCTTGGCGGTGAGCTTCCGCCAGTATTGGTTGGGAAGTGTATCAACCCACACTATTCTTGAGGTATTGATCACTCTTAAACGAAAGTGAATAATTACTAATCCAGGAACAGCTGGATGCCTGACGCATGGATTCGAGCCTGGCTATCGGAGTTTGAATGGACAGAAGAGAACAATTCTCAGTGTTACCAATTCTGTCTTAACAAGAGCTACAATTACAAGCAATTTCTATCAGAGTTTAGAGGCTGTATGGTCATTACTGTCATGGATAACACACAATCACTGCTAGCAATCCTGTATAATCAAAAACCCTGGAACAACCTGCATCATGTTATCTTCATTAATAAACATCGTAAAGCTGTGTACGCGGACGAAACGGAAAATCCTGTAGGTTTGTGCTATAGAGATTTATTGACAAAATAAGTTTGCACTTTGTCACAGTCTATCAAGAGCTTTTTAACCATAGAGCGTCCATAGGTAGGATGACAGTCATAAAAAATTACCGTATCCCAGTTTGAGGACCGGTACCAATCTCAGAATGTTTACTGCACCAAGAATGAGGAAGATAGCACAAGCAACGACGATAGAGACACCATCAAGTGCCAGGCCTCTCCGCTTTCATTTTGTATCGGAAAACTCAAATCTATGCTTCTGATACCAACATACCAGCGAGGGTAGCAAATTGTCCTGTGGCTATAAATAACATCCTAATTAATTGAAGATGGAAACTACAGCTGTCGAGGAAGCAATCATATCTAAATTTTGCGAGTTTTCGTTCCGTCCCCCGGTCTTAGAAATCCATGTTGCAAGCCTCATAGTGACGGAAGTCATTGTCGTTTTGGAATTTGGAGCAGTCAATCTATGATCCAGTGTTTTTCACTTAGTAAGAAACCTAACGCGATCCTCTAAAATAAGAAAGTGACCCCCAGCAAACAAAAGTCATATTACTTGTAGGATTAGCATAGTCTGTAGGAAAAATAGTTCCATCGAACAATCTCCTCAAGGGAGATAATAACTTTCTAGCAGAATTATGTTTCTTTCATTGTATCCGGAATACTGGAGGCTTCCTTCTGCAGTCTAAATTGTCTGAAAAACGCTACCAAAACTAGCATGTTAGGAAGATAGTCTAAGATACATATGGACCAAAAACTGCCCCAAACGTATAAGCAATCAAAATGACTGTTATCTCTTCGTTATTTACTGAAATACTCTCAGTAGAGTTCCCATTTAGTTGTTCTTTCGAAGTATGTCCCAACAGTTAACCAAACCCTATAAGTTATCACCCGACAGAAATTCATTCTGTTGATTTCCGTCCGGTGTACGGACTGTATTACCCAAAATAGAGTTAGTATCTCGGAGACTATCAACTTCGTAGTCACTGTCCTCCTTGATTGTACAGTAGTAGGTTTTGCCGACAGCTGGTTTCCGAAAGGAACGCCAACATTAAAAAATTCAGTTTCCCATAACGTATTGTGATAAACGATAAATTACAGGGTTAACCATGCAAGACGTAAGGTATTCCATGTTTACTCAGAGTTCCATCTGTTTTGCCTACTTTTTTTTACTTACTCGGGCTGAATGAGATTGAACTGATGTCTTATTAAGTTTTATTGGGGTCGTTGGGCAAAATCGTACTAATCCACCTGGTTCCGTCCTCAGTGTAGTTTATCTGACAAAGCTAGTTTCATTCATTGTTGTAGGCATCGATTTGGGATAGAAATTAACTGATGACAACTCAGGTGAATAGTTTCAAACGACATAAGCTGAGAGCCCGGACAAAGGACCACTCTAGTAGGTAGACTGGTCCTGTGCACCCATCTTTGCCCTGGTTTATTGTTAAAAGGATGGTGACACACTTATGAAGTTTGTCAATAAATGACATATGACACGGCATCTGGGATAAGGTGACAAAGTACTCACTCCACGATCACGAAGTTTAACTGGCACCTGCTGTGGATGCGGAATCAATACCCGTAGATTGTTTTTTATGACATCAGTCAGTGTAGGGGTCCTGGTAACAATGTCTTCCCACACGTTCACGACATCGTCTGCAAACAGATTCGAATCGACCGCCAGATAGAACAAGTTTCGTAGCCTGACCGGGTTTTGCGCTGCCAACAGTAGCAAAAAGTCTGCGACGACCGTTGAACGCATGAACAGTATGCATACTGCAATAAAATGAGTTTGGTAAAAATTCGATCAGTCATGGAATATTTGAAATGGAACGGTTAAAATGTCGCTTGAAATTACCAAATTAGCAGTTGGATACGAGAGACCCCGTTGGGGCACAATCAAGCTCAAGCTGAATTTTTTTATGTAATCAATAAGATCTTCCCGCTTCTGCAGCGAATCTGCACTCTGGTCTTAAGAACAGTCAAGGATCTAAAGTCCAGGTGGCAACGGAGATGCATCCTATAGATATGCTTTAATATTACGAAAGCAAATTCAACTGGCGATGTTCTTGCTTTCATTGGTTTACTTCCAACTAGGGTGGTTGGAACGACCGACTGACGTTTGACAATTGAACTTAGTTTCATAAAACCGATACGGGTTGGATGCCGGGTGTATTCCTACCACATGTTTTGGCCAGCCATTTAACTATCCTCTCCAAAACCAGACTGCAGGTTTTGTAGATCAACTGCAAACAGCCAGCATCTTCTGAAGGACATCATTTCTGCCAGCGAAAGAATTCTTGCAGGTTTGGCAAAGGGTTTAGTACGTAAGGAGTTCTGCAATGCACGTCAGACACACGTACCGGTCTCATTTTGTTTTTATGAGGCATTTAGACGAAGGATTTCACTGTCAAATTGCAGGTCACCTCTAATCGTAGTGGAGCTTTATTTAGCACGTAGGCTTCCTGCGTAATCTTTTGTTGAAAACACCCAACTTGAATTTTCCAGGGGAAAGACAACAATAAACTGCCCGCAAGCCTACGTATACAGGCTAGCAGGAAGATTGTAATGTGCAGCGATCTGATAGACTGATAATGTTCTGCTACAGAAAACTCAGCTGATTCCCCAACAGGTGACGTGTATTTTTAGTGACTGTATGCATCGTTTATTTCAGTTGGTCAACTAAGCCGAGGTACTGTGTTCTTTCTCTTTGCGTCAACTAACCGCCTTTTTGGTAGCCCAAGCATTGAGAACTGTTCCTATAATTCGCTTCACGAGGAAAACTTCGGCATCCTACCCAAGCTCCCAGTCTTAGATAAAATCTGATGAAGTAAATGGAGTCAATTCTTTCTGGAAATAAGCACTCAGTAAAGCGTTGCGAGAATTAATACATGACATGTAACTTAGAAGGCATTAACATGACTAATCAATGCATACACTCGCATCCAGCTTGCCTCCTGAAAAAAGGGACATTACTGAATTTGTGTATGCCATGCATAGCAAATTGAAGAGCAGGTCTGTCTTTGGACTTCAAAATTCAGCATTCCTGACCAGGGACACAAAACATCTTCAAAAAGCTGATCGCCAATACCGTCGTGCAATGGCAGGAGATATCTGCGACGAACGTCATCAAGAACCGAGTAACAAATCATATTCGTCGTGACAAAAAGGAAGTTTTTCCGGCACCGTTGACATATGACATACCATTCTATGCCAAAGACAGAGATGTTATTTTAACTCATTAAGTCATTCGGATTATACAAGCAACCTCTTGGGGACTTTAGCAGTCAGCCAAACAATCTTCTCGTGTGAAAAGATTGTGTGTGCTTAGGTTGGAGTAGAATGAGGTTTACCGGAAACCTGGGGACTGTGCCTATCTGAGGAGGTCCAAGTAGTGCGAAACTGGTCGTGGGCTGTGGAAGATTAGTGTTCTGAGTAGTGTTCTGTCACAAAAACAGAGATATCTCGAGTATCTTACCAAATGAAAAATGAGGTGGCCTTCGCGCATTGTATTCAGTCAAATAATACTATGAACGAGGGATTCGGCTGGGATTCAGTGGAGCCGTCCTGTAAAGCCAATTTAGTTTGCAAATGAGAGTATTTCGTGAGTTTGTGTGCGTGTTCATTCCCCTTTGTTGACATCTGCCGGCTATTTCACAGCAGCTGATGATCTTGCTTACTATGCACTTACTGGTCGTCGCGTTGTGCTGTTCACCTGACGCACGCCATGTCAAACATTCCCACACTCAGCTTCCGTCCAATTGATCTTGATTCTCTACCCGATGGCTGTTGAGGATTCAACAGCACTCTAGTCAGCCAAGCACTCCAGCATCGTAGCAGCGTATAAAACAGGAAGTAGGGAAGTGCCTTGAGCGTGTCTATTACGTGAGTGGAGTAAACTTTCAAAAACCAAGCATTTGCCTTATTTATTTTGTTTGGCTTCACGTTTGTTAAATGTTGATCAAAAATGAGCAATTATCAAAGAGTTCATAAGTACTTGACGTGTAACTATCTTGGTACGTCCCATTGAACTCACAAATAAACTCCGGCCCTTTAGGAGCTACTTCGGAAAAAGCCCGTTGCTAATAATAAACCATATAACTCAGTTTTATTTCCTACGAACGGTAAGTATTGTGAGCCCGCATAATCTAGCTGTCTTGAGTAGAACTGTAAAAATCGTTCGAAATTCAAAAACCATCCTCTGTTTCTAAGAAAGTCCATCTTTAACCAGTATTTTATTTGTCTCTTACGAAATGTCTCAGTCCTATGCTGTTTTTAACGCAAGTTCTGCTGATTTTGATCAGAATTAGGTTACGGGAATGTTACAAGCTTGACCGCAAACGTTTCCTCCGGAGTTGGGAAGACATCGTCGTTGACTGCGCATCAATGTCCGCTTTTCAAATGGTGATAAAACGGTTGCCATCTTGGGGGGGGGAGGGATTAACCAACCTAGATGAATTATCCCCCGTTACAAAATGAATTCAAACCCATGTTCCAGCGTATTAAAATCCTGATGTTATTTTAAGTTGACAAGTAACCATAATTCTCAGTCACAAACACGGTATCTAATGTATCACGAAGCAAACACAAATTCAATCCCAGATAAATGACTTCTGCACCAGCAGGGTAGCACTTTTTGCAATCCTCCGGTCAAAGACTTGAATTTGTCCCTCACTGTATCCTCCCTTCCATGAAATCCTTCCTGCAAGCAACACCATTCGGCGTTTAACGCGGAGGCAAAGAAATCGGATCCGGCTAGTGATTGATAGGTATTCGCGTTTCCATCAGAAACCTATACTGCTGAATTATAGTGGAAGCTGGGTTCTCTTGATACCTACTGATTAATAACCATATTTGTCATATTGCTTTTATACACGTTCTCCAAGGTGAACCGTGAGAACTCTTTGCGGCAACTGGCTGCAAAACTGACAAGTTATTAAAATTAGTTTCCCAAGTTGCTTAGCAACAGTACACCTCCGACCAACATCATGAACGTTAGCTATTAGACCATTTAACTCCTCGTATATGCCCTACCATAAAGCGCCATCGCATTCCCGTAAATCTACCCCCACCAACTAGCAAAATCTTTATCTGTCTTTATCACTTTCACGCATATAATTATGTCCAACTAGGGGGAATCTCGGGCTATGGTGGTTCGAGAGGATAAACCACTCCTCGCTACAGAAGACCATAAACCTTATCTACCTATTGAACGTAAACTACTCTCTGAGGCGGGTAGCCATGTGGTGTTATCTCGAGTGAACGGATCACTTGCTGTTTCAAGATCCCTTATTGATTTCGAGTACAAACAAGTGTATAGCCGCGGAGCTACTGAGAAGCATGTCTCTCCTGAACCGGACGTACGTGTGGTCGAGCGAAAGCCCGATCGCGACCAAGTCCTCGTCCTAGCGTGTGATGGAATTAGGGATGTATTTGAAAACGATGCTCTCGTCACATATGTACTTCAGCGGCCACGGTGCGTCCCCAATTTGGATGAAGTGTGTAAAGAAATCCTGGATACTAGTTTACATAAGGGTAGCGAAGACAACACGTCCGTGCTGTTGATCGCTCTCGACGGTTACCCTACAGTTAACCCCTAAGCGGCATGTAAGAATGGTGAACTGGACAAAGCTATCCGATCAGTTGTCATGGAATTGGTGGACTCGCCCAATGAAGACTGGGAAAATTTGAATGTCAGTTATGTCTTTCAATCAATGGAACTCCTCAATTATTCACCCGAGGGTTTCATCACCAACCGGGGTTTCGATGAAGGTCTATATGATGTCCATGTACGACAAAACGATTGGAGTTCGCAGGGCAAAGAGTCTCGAGTTCAGTCATATTTGCATCACACTCCTCTGAAGCCACTGGATTCAGTTCGGTAGATCTGGGTAGACTTGCCAAGCTTTGGTCAAGTGCACTCCTCCACAACATCCACCCAAGCTATGTTAAAACTTTAATGACTCCCGCAAATATATTCATCTGCATACCAACTTGGCTCCACAGGAGACTCATTTGAAACCCAGCTGAATCTTTGAACAACAAGAACATCATAAACCATAGATTCAGCGATGGGAAAAAATTACTATGCATTTGAGTGTGCTTGTTGAAATTTGTGCAATTTTAGTCCTCATAAAACATAAGGTTGACGGAAAGTCGCGGACTGCGCCTATTTGATGAGCTCCAAGAAGAGTGGAACTGGCCGTAGGCTGTCATAGCGTTTGTTCTAACCTTACTAGTAGTTGTGTTCATTCAAATCATATTTTTCATGGCCGCAATAGAAATGTAACATTCGGAAGGGCTGGGTGCATAGTTACTCAATGTTAACGAGCTACTGAAGCAGGTTGAGAATCCACCTCTTGTTTTCTGTTTTGCGGCTACATTTAAAAAGCGCAAGCCACCACAGATTTTACTTTTCCGACAATCATACCTCGTTTTACTGGTGTTTTATAAAGTACACGTTACAGCTCGACATCTTATGAGGTTTTTGACAAGGTGGCGACCAGCAGATCGATACTACAGAGAGGTTATACTAAAACAAAAAGTTCAAAAATGGTGGAAAAAATTACTGAGCCATTTTAAACTATTATAAACTATTGCGTCCACCTTGACACCCACCAACTAGGCTTAATTCCCAAACTTCCACTAATCTGCAAAAAAGGAGAAATGCACTCTATTTCAAATTAGCTTCGTAAAAAATGACATAAAAATAATCCAGCTGAATGTTCCGTTAAAACCAAAGTAAGTTTTAAAGGATTGTGTTTCTCCAAATACGTCAAATTTGGTATTCGAATGGAAGGCCTGCCTGAAGAGCCCCTATAAGTATGAAATTGGTCTTGGACTGACGAAGAGTTTTCAGTAAACGTTTGGTTAATGTGATCCACTGATAAAATACGCTACGATATTCCAAAACCAAATTAGTTGTACAGCACGTTCAGTTGAACAAGAGCATACACGACCGATTCAGCCAGAATTCATTTGAGCCTCTCGCTAAAACCAAATTAGGTTGCCAATGAGTGCATTTTGCCAGTAGCCGTACATCTGTAAAACTAGCAAAAAAGAGTACACTGTCTGACAGAGAAAAAAAATCCTGTACCACTGAACTACGAACGTGGCGTTTCAACATTAGGGAGAAGCGCATTTTGCCAGTAGCCGTACATCTGTAAACCTAGCAAAAAAGAGTACACTGACAGAGAAAAAAATCCTATAACACTGAACTACGAACGTGGCGCTTCAACATTAGGGAGAAGTAGATCTCGCCCACAGGGACAAAGTATCGAAATTCATGTTGCTTATTTTAAAGAAAAGCCATGTGCGAGAGGTTAAAGTTCATCAATTTAGTTAGCTTTTCACTCATTGGTCAACAGTCTGATGTACTAAGAGAAGTAGAAAGTTGTTACGAAGGGGTATTTTCCCTGGTGAACCACGGATGTTGGTTTCCAACATTAGGGATGAATTTCTTGAGTGTTGTGCGATACATGTGGCTCACACGGACGTCTCTACTTCATTTGTAGGATCCTATAATGAGCCTCGTAAGGAGACTTAAGCCAGCAGGACCAAACCAAGCAGGAAATGCATGCAGGGAAAGTCAGTAAACACTATGACTGCACAAAGTAAAATGGATACTGTTGACAAAGTGGCAGAACAACGTGGTTCACATTCGACTGTCATGCGTTGCCAAAAGAGACATTCAGCTCATTGAATTGGCTTGAACCGGTTTTTACCTTGAAGGTTAAAAAATAAACTCTGATAACTAAGCTTTGAGGATTAGGTTATGTTTCCATTGAATTACTTCACATCGGATTTTGCAAGCTGATTGAAGTTCTGAATGCGCCAGACTAATATAATACAATGCTAATTTTATTCATGGTAATTTGATCAGGTCGTGTAAAATGTGGTCGCCAGCTATTTTGTTTTTTACCTTCACTATATGGCTAGATATGGTGCGATACAGCTTCAACAGGCATTTTAAAGCTCCAGTTATCCATTGATCAGTTTAATCCCGGAGTGTTCTGTAAGATCTAGAGTGGAACTAGTGGGAGTTGGAAAATTATCCCGCTCATGAGAAGTTACTTCTAAGGTGTGACGGCTAGGAAGTCCGCGTCCTTTCCTGAAAGGCAAAAGTATGTTTAAGATCTGGTCAAAATTTTTGTAAGAACCGAAGTAAACATCAGTGAAATTGGCATCTGTGATATATGCGTACGCCGGATACAACAGGAATTTGCGAGAATTAGTAGAACTTGGCTGCATTTGTCAACTTGGTCCTTATTTTTGCCACCTACTTTGTAGTGGTATTTCATGCTTTGCCCGTTTCCTACACAACGTACGCCAAAGTAGTCTTTTTAATGTGAGCAACGCATTTATATCGGAACACTGGGGGTAAATAAGGTAAAAAGGCCGCTTAAATCACTTTTCTCCCAGTGAACGAATGTCCTACAACTACGATAGCACTTACACAGTTGAAACTGTGCGACGGTCCATGTTGAAACCAGTCGGACAGATTCATCGTGGATACTGAAATTTGAAAGTTTTTATGAGCAACAGAGTATGCGAGTGCCCTCTTTCCTAATCCAGGTCTTATCGTGTAAGTTCCACAAATTCAGCTGTTCCTTTCTAATCACGTATCGTTATCTGTGAGAACCCGCAACACTTAAGACAACATCAATAACTGACGGACGTACCGCACTACTCACAAGGTTACTGAAAACCCTTCGGTAGCCCACGACTGCTTTCGCCTTTCTTGAAGCCCATCAGGTAGCCGCAGTCTTCGGAACTTTGTCAAACTTATGCTCCAACTGAACAATAAATTTCACAGAAAAATACGTTCATTTGGTATTTAATGTGGCGTTAATGGAATAATCAAGTGAACTCATTTTCTATTTTATTCTCCGGAAAAATTACAGAAATGAGCGCTATTCTTTGAATATTTTAACTGCGGAGAGCGAATTTCTTTTTGTTTGTTATATGTCTCCAGCAAAGAATGTGTTTCTACCGGACAGTTTAGTACTTCTGAATGGAAATACGCATACCACCTCGTGGACTCTTGCGGCCCTACACCCGGTCCCTCCTCAGTGATTGCTGTTGCCTACACCTGGCAAACTCAGTTCCGTCTTATGAAGAAAAAACTTGAAAGTTTCGCTTTAGGATCGAAAATAAACAAACTCCGCTGAAGCTGGTAGGTTTAACGTCAGAGAGGCCGGCATGCGTCGCAACTAGAAAAAATTCCGAGAGATCCTGGTAACAGAAAGGACTCAAACTGAGGAGTGAATTTGAGTTAGTACTATAAGGTGAAGTTCGACAGGATGACAGCATGCGCAAGCTGTGCTCGGCTGTTTATACTCACTGATTATGGTCCTTATCATCACTTAACCCGACTATCGCTGACCATTGGCACACAAGTCATCGATGTAAAAATTAACAGACTATCCGTTCCCTATGGGTAGTGTTGCGTTTCTATTTCAAACTAAAATGGAAGTCATAAACATTTGGTTCTTTGCACCTATTTAGGGCAATTTCGTAAATATAGGGACAGAACTGGGCCACCAACGGTTTATAGTCCAATTAATTCAGATTACGCGAGACAGAGTGTCTCCCAAGAGTGGTGCCTACAAGTAGAGAGTAAAATAATAATTCATTTTGAAAAACAGCTAAGGATCTAGATGCCTGGCTAGTATAACGCTATCGAGTATAAAAGCCGATAATGCCATCAGCGCCATTAAAATGAGACAAACTCACTCTTTGGGCTTCGCTAGCACAGCTGTTGGCTGCGGGAGAAGTCCAGACCATAAATGTGACACCTTGGGGTGTTTGTACGCACATGCACGTGCATCAAACTATGATCAGATCAAATACCTATCTTGTATCACAGGCTTTATGGTCAAAGGCTTAAAATGAACCAAACTGAGTGCGCCACTTCCAAAAGCTTGGTACATAGTTCCAGTCGATGATTACTTCTAGAAGTGAGGTTTGTTTCGTCCCTGCAGAACACTGAAGTTACAATCCTACTAAAGAAAAATATCGAGGAATGCCTTTATGCGTAGAAATGTGAAAACAAGAACTTCGAATTGTAAACTAGTTCTTGACTTCCGCTAGTAAGCATGTGTATCAAGGATGGAACAACTCGCGTAGAAGCGACGAACACCTAAACTGTTCTGCAAGGGTAGAGCTCACACAGCAACCTGGTATGAAAATTACTGTGGACCCAGAGAAAATATATGCGCTAAATGCTTTACGTATTTTTCTCCACTTAATTTCCTTTTGTCTTATTTGCCAGAGTTTACGTAAAAAGATCATCACATGCACACAACAAATCTACCTGTGACAAACACTGCTGGTAGTTTTAAAAGTCGGGAACTTTGGAATTTTTCAATTGAGAGTTCTTGCTGTGAGGGAAGACAATTTATGCTGAAAAACCAAGAAACGCTACGGATGTGCTTCATCCTAATTGGGAACCATCAGCAGTATGTATCTCATAAAACCCCAGATACTTTCAAACCTATGACCTTCCAGCTAGTTTTAGAAAATTATTCCGTGCGGTCACGAAAGTCCGATGAGCATTGTGATCGACTCGCTCTCAAATAGGATATAGCGCCACTCATAGTTCGCTGACGGAATCTGTATCACATGGTCACATGTTGACTGGCTCCCTGATTGGTAACTTTTCATATGTTAGCTCCTCTCAACTTGTGAAGCTTTTTTTCCTGTCAGCGACCTAGATGGCTGTTTGTTTCTTTCAGCATACAATTCTAATGCACTTTAAATTAAAAGAGCAGCTTGCTCAAGTATCTTTCTTCATACAGGCTGACGTCAACTTCAGCTGAGTGGAAAAGGTACTGCAAGGTTTCCAGGAATAATACAATTTCGGCCAGTCCTGATGATATG